GAAAGTTGAGGCTGGGGAATTTTTGTGTTTTCCCTCTTCACCCTCTTGTCTTGAATTGTATTGTGATTGTAATGTCTTCCCTATATTGTAAAGCGCTGCGCAAACTGTTGGCGCTATATAAATCCTGTATAATAATAATAATATTTGCAAACATGTTTATTTTTTTCGTTTTGCACATTTCTTCTAAAAAGGACAGGTAGGAGTAAATTATGGCTGATTCTTTTATTCTTTCTTTAAGTGATGTTATTGTATTTACAGACTGCAAGTGTCATTTTACACAGGGGTGGTCGAAGTTGTTTTAGAACATATCCCTAACATTCTAAATCCCAAAGTGGTTAAGAAATCATCCTCAACAATCCTTGAAAGGTTCAAAAGGTGTCTTTGAGGTGGCCCTGAAGGATCCATGAAAGGTCTCACTGTGGAAAGATGTTATATGGAATGGAGACAGTTCTTAGAGAAGGACTTGAAGAATTTCTGGATAAGTGGTAATTCTACTAGGCAAAGCTAAAGAAAGGCCAGATACCAGAAAGACCTTAAAGATGTTAACTGCAAAGCCCTTGACTGCATCATTTTGAGAAAGAAAAAAAAAAGAAAAGATCTCTATTAGAGTGTAAAGAATGGAAGTAACTATTTTGCAACTTGAGAGTAGGGATGAAACAAAAATCACAAAGACCCCAGCAGGGGTGGACTGGGACTGTACAGCCCACTGGTGAAAGTTAGATCTGGGGACCCACTTGACCAACCCTTCAAACATTTCAACACATCTTCATCCAATTATTGCTGATGCCATGACTTAACACAAAGGACCACACTTAACACTTAACCACCTTAGTACCAGAGTAGTTTTTCTAATTTTTGCACACACATGCTAAAATCTGAATTTGTGGATAGAAATGATGTTAAGCCCACAAACATTTATATCTTTTCTGAAAGCAGAGTACCTGCAGAATAAAAAAAAATGGTATCAGCATTTATTTATGTTGCATGATACTTTTAGTGCACACAAACATTACAATAAATATTTTTTGGGTGAAACATAAAAGATGGGATCATGTTGAGTAAATAGATACCAAACATGTCAAATATTAAACTATGCACACCCAAGCAATGGTGCAAGATTACTCATAATTGTTCATAGGCAATGTTATACAAAATCTTTACTGCTCAGTGAATTATTGTCCTAGAATTATTTCTTTTACTGCGATACCTAACACATGTGGCACAATATACATATGTGTTCATTTGCATGCAGA